AATGTCCTCAAAATCAAAGCATATCTTCTTCCCTGTTGGTACTCCTGATGTACGTTTGATGCCCAGAGATTCCTGAGGCTCCAGAGAGGTTCAGCCCTCTGAAGAAGGTTTGGTCTCGCTCTACTCAGCTCAGCTCAGCTTTCTCCTCCACTTGACTCCCAAGAGGGACACTTTTCACGGAGTGTAAACTCTGCTCCTCTTCACCAGGGTATGGCAACATTTTCCAACATTTGACTCACAAAATAGACATGCTTTTGGAGGTGATACCTGCTCCATCTACATGCTAAAAAGCTTGGCCACTGCCAAGAGAGTGAGAGAAGACGATATGCCTTAGGACTTACATGCCATGGAGTTAAATCACTAAGAACTATGTTAAGGATTGAAAACAGCCTGCAAAAACAGTAATGACTGAGTGTGCAAGCAGCTGCACCCACATTTTAAGCCCTCACCTTGTGCATTAAATCTGCAGTTATATGGCTTTCAAAGCTTGGAGCTTGGTTTAATATTCATGAAGACCTGAACAGCCTGCGATCTCTGCCCCCTCAAGAGCCAAAAGAGATATTGTTATTTGATATGGTAAACAAAGCACTGGAAAAAGGAGCAGAGAGGCCATTTGCCACACAGACACACTGTCAGTTCCTCAACCTTTTTAGAATAGCACTCGACGTCTCACAGTTCAAAAAGCTAAGGGTTAAGGCCAGAGATGAATTATGTAGTCAGGCAAGGTAACGACTAAGAGGACCCATAAGGGCATTAAGAAACATGTACCATGATTCTCTAAGATGCAAAATGAGGAAGAGTAACTCTGTGAGAAGTAAAAAAACTAAGAGACAAAAAAAGTGGAGGAAGAAGAATGAAAACAGGACAGTGATAATCAAACCCAAAAGTTAGCAGGTGCTGTTTTTTTTACCAGTCAGATAATTAGACTATCCTGCCATTTTGTTTTACTTAAGCCATTCAGCCTGACATTATATTGGTGCCAATTTATTGATGGGAGGGGGAGGTTATTTTGTTCTGTTTTGCCCAAACCAATCAGTGGTGAGTATTGTATTTGTCCCAATATTATCAATTTCACAGCTGAAGCAGTTGCTAGGAGGAAGTAACATGAAAGAAATATATTGAATTAACACTTGTTATTTCTGCACATGGACTTATACAACTTGTACAGCTACATCAGTCTCTTTCACACCTGTCGCTGTTTTTCATGAATGTAGTTAGGTAGCTACTGAACAGTCGTCAATGGGCACAACGTCTAAACTGCCAAACAAGTTTAATATCTATACAGTGATTTAGACGTCTGTAACTTTTTTATGTACCATATTGTATGCTTTACATGTTGGCACACTGCTTAGCATTTTTCTAGTTACACTCTAGGGACCACACACTTAGCTTAGCTACATATGTTAGTTTGTAAAAAGATTTGATTTCACTGTGGCAGTAACAATGAGAATGTCTCTCTGAAAATGGCCAGCGCACTTAAACTGACCTGAAATCTCAACACAAGATGCTGTTTGTGAGCCTTGAGACAAGATAATTCAGACTAAATGAATTAAGGTTGTTTGCAGGAACCAGACCCTTTTTTTCTAACCGACTCATTTGTATGATGATAGTCCAGGGATGTCCAGGGAGAATATTAAAAATGGATGAATATTTAAATAATGTATTTCAGAACTTCATATGAAAAGGGCTGCAATATCTCTGCATGTGCTGCTAAAGTTTGTATCATTGGCTCTTTGTATTTAATTGATCTATATCTATATTCTGGGGAACATAATGATAATGGAAATCAGTCAATGGAGCCCTAAAGGGATTTTCTGCCAAGGGTCTCCAGGGTACAACAGTTTCCACAAACCTTAATTATGATGGTAGAAGTACATCAGCTGTCATTTTCCAATAAACACAAAATTGATTTGAATACAATAAATAGAGGAATTATTATTATTTATTGTCGTGTTGAGAGTGACTATTGTGTGCTATATTCTCTGCTGATTGCATCAGTTTGCTCAGATAGAGGAGCGTACTCCTCTGTTCTGCTGTCTAAAAGCAGCAGGTAAAAGAAGCGTCTGAATGTGTCAAAGAGAACTCAATAAATAATGGATGTCATGAAGCTTCAGTGGAAGCTGTCGGCTTTGAAATCCACTCCCTGGTTGAGTCACACTCCCAGTTCGCTCCTTTCATTTTACATTTAACGGGCCTTGTGCTGTATAACCATCGTCTCAAGCACACATAGACACACACACTTACACACACATACATACACACACACACAGACACACACACCTCATGGGGCTCGGGCTGTCTGAGGCAGTTAGTGCTGGGGAGGTGCTGAGCTCAGAGCTATACCAGGCAGGTGTTGTGTCCATCTTAGGGGCTCACGTCTGCATACATCAGCTTCAATTTCACCCTCGGTTCTCTGGGCTTGAGAGCCTGGTTGACATCCACAGGAAGGGAGCAGACAGCAGCATCGGCCAAGAGGAAAAATAAACAGCTGTATGAGCCTCTTTTGGATGAGGCACACAGTGAAAATTGTAGGGTTTCTCAAAGCCTTCTAAGGTTAACTGGTTTTCTTTTGTAGTTGTGAGGTGATTTTTGAGCCCCTAAAATGTTGCCATCTGTTCACACTCATAAGTGGACAAAGCAGGCTTTTAGCTGTAGATGTCCCAGATGTCTAAACCCCAAACAAATCATTTTCCAATATTGCTGACACCAACAAAAGACAGCAGGTGCCTTGGAATTAAAGACCTCATTAAAGTTGGAGCAAGCAAATTGATTGCACAGCCCCCCATAACTCTAATACAAGTCATATAAACCTGGGAGATCACAATAACAGTTGTAATGTGCTCAGACTTTAATTAAAAAAAAATATGCACCTTTTTTTCCCACCAGAAAACCTGAAATGCATGCTGTGAGCTCCACGTGTCATGGCTCTTGCACAGAGAGATCAAAGTCAGCAGGGTAAATGGCTAATAATTCATAAATAAATCACATACTCAAGCAAAAACAAATGCGTATGCAGGCTCCAGAGATGTGAGGGGGGTCATACCTCTCTCAATAAAACCCACTGACATAACGTGGCCTTTCTATATCACATTATCATTTTCTTACCACATATTTGACATATTAATAAAAGGAGAATGGAAGAAATATCTTCAATCTGATGGAAAGAGAGAGATTTTACTGTGAAAAACTGAATCACCATACGTATGAACAACAGCATTTACACCTGCATGAAATGTCAGAGGTATTTCATCTCTTACTCTGTTAAGAGCCTTGAGATAATGAATGTAGTGATGTGGCGCTATATAAATAACACTGAACTGAAAATTGAATCCCTGGTGCAAAATTGCCGTAAAGGTGCAATGTGTGCTCATTTTGCAGTGGTGCAAAATTTATGTAAAATGCACGATTGCAGAATGCCAGAGATACAAGGAGACAGCAGAGAATATGCTCCTTATATCCATGTCTCCAATTTGAGACCATTGTCCTTCAGCTATAATGTGAATCTTCTGGCTGTCAAACTGGGAAAGAAAGAACACTGGCTAAAGGCCACTTGTCTTCTCACTGAGCCCAGATCGTGTTCGCATTGTCAGTCCTGGGCAGCTCAATACAGACTCATATCTACCCACCACTGTACCGTGTGAAGGTGAATCTAAAAATACATAGACATTCAGAAACATAGATATGACTGGGTTTGGATTTTGATGAGTTTGGTGTCACCCCCTGATCTCAACCTGCTTCACCTATTTTAATCATTCCTTGTGGTATCAAGCTGCACCACAAATTCTGTAGCCTAAGCCTTTATGGCAGCAGCCATCAAAATGCAAAATGATCATTTCTATCTCCATGACAATTAGACCCCAAACATCTGGGACACTCACACCAGGGTTAACAATCCAATTATTCCCATGCATACTGTAATTATAGTGGGAGGCAGCAGTTTATTAAGGACATTGTAGATTTCCTCTCATACAGCAGTTGTGTCTGGATCAGACTGTGTAACTCTTCGGTCATACTCCTATTCTAGACTATGCTGTATGAAGTATTTCAAGAATATACTGTAGTTTGACATTTTAGGAAATACTCTTATTTGCTTTCTTGCCAAGTGTTACACGAGAAGATTGATACCACTCTTGCAACTGTATGGTCTTTGTAGTAGCTGGAGTCAGCAGCTTGTTAGCTCCGGAAAGCATAAGACAGTAAACAGTGGGCAACAGCTCGCCTGCGTCTGTCCTACAGTAACAAAATCTGCCAGGTGATACAAACGCTCACTAATTTCTGTGTCTCATAAAGTTTAACTGATACAAAAATCAAAGTACAAAAATGACGATGTACGAGTCTATTTCATGGCCAGGACCAGTAACTTCCTGGAGTCTCTGCTGGTTGCCAAGCAATTGCTCCCAGCCAAGAAATAGTCCAGTACATTCCCTTGGACATAGTCAGCATAGCTGTTCCTAGTATTTATGCTAAGCTACACTAATACTAGCCGTCCTCAGCTTCATATTTATCACACAAACATGAGGGTGCCATTAATCTTATAATTCTCAGCAAGAAATCGAGCGGCTACATTTCCCATAATGCAACAAGGCCTATTCCTTGAAACTTTAATTTTATCGTTAAAGTTAAAGAGGAAGTTCCTCTTGCAGCCAACTGAAAACACATTAATATAAATTGTTATAAAACACGTGAAATGTATGTAAAACATTTTGTATGAAATCCACTAAGATCATATAAAACAGTTTGTACATCGACCTGTAGCCATCACCATCCAACCGTCATCAGTGGTTGAAGTATAATCACCACCATCAGCCAGTGGATAGACAAAACGGGTGCAGAAAATTAAAGTTAAATTGACACTAACAACGTCAGTGTGAGATCCCTCCGCGCCTAATTGACTACTCGGTGTGAGCCGCTGCACCTGTCTCCACGCTGCTTCTCCCTCCGCCTCCGCCTCCGCTGCCCGCATCATCTCCTCCTGCAGAGCCGAGCGGAGCAGCAGCGTCTCTCCCTCTCTCCAGCTCCAGCTTTATGTCTGTGAGGGCTTCCCAGCGCTCAGTGGGGATATTTCATCGATGCTCTCCACCTAATGTGACAATTTCATACAACTGCTAGAAAGACCGGCTGAAGCAATGGGAGCTTTTGGAGTGTTAGTGGGGATATTACAGTACGCGGGACTTTACATTCAACTTAACGCAGCTCTAAACGTCGGGCACGGCGAGGTGGACAATCACATCTCTGGGAATGGTAAGTTGCTTTTCGCCTGTTTGTTGGTGGTTGCTTAAATGGAAAAGGAAGCTGATAATATTATATGATTTCCACTGTTGAGGAGTGGCTGGGTGGGGTTCAGTGAAGACTGACTGTTCTTGATCACATGGTGATCTTTTTTTCTTTATTACTTAATTGTCTTTGTTATGAAGAATTGCATGTAGATTATTCTTTTCAGTATCATTTCTGTCTGTGATAAAACTTCTGAATATGCACTTTTATCATGTTTTAATTTTTCCATATGAAAGTAGTTGAGTATAGAACAAGTTGGTGAAGCATTTTGATCTGCCTGATATTGACAAATCACTTTCAATAACTTATTAGGGCTACTCAGAGCACATTCAAACTGATTAAGAATTAGTTTAATTATAACCTGTTTAGTTTGACATAACAAGCTTTTTAAACCAGTTTACAATAAGCTAGTAGCTGCTGACTAAAGTATCTGTGTTTCATTATTTCTGCATAAAATTATTTTATGAAAAAAATTAAATAAAATTCTAGTAAGACTAGAATGAGCTACACAATCACTGTGGACCAAATAATGCAGTACAGCACACTGTTATAGTGGGATCAGGATGGAAATTTAAAATTACTGTTAGTTTACCTGTAGCAGTTGAAAATATTCTGATAATAAGATGAGATAGCTCCAGGAACTAATCCTGGAAATTTTAAATATTAATTTGATTTTGGTCTGACTTTACTTAACACAAGACTGACTCAACTGTCTGACTGACCCAAGGCCTAGCTTTGCATACGGTACACATAAGATCACACCTGAAAGATATAGTCCTCACAACCATCTCTAGTCATGTATTCGAGAGTTTTAAACTCTAAACCACCAACCAATGTTGTGGCACAAATATTCTTCTCTGACCTGAGGATCCCAGAATCCTACTAACCTAATAACATAAATAAAAAATAATAATTTTAATAAATGCTTATTATTTTTATGAAATGTTTAAAATAGTTTTTTGGGCTTTTTTGTCTTTATTCAATAGTCAACAGTAGAAAACAACAGACAGGAAACCTGAGGAAAGACGGGGTGACATGCAACACAAGTCCCCAGTCAAAATACTACCTGCTATCCAAAACATGTTTAATTCATTTTGTAAATAATCAGCTTTGTATGTGAAGGTGCACATCATTAGTTACATCAAATAATAAAAATAAAATAGCATCACTGACACCAAAAACAAATATTGTTTCAAATCAGTTGAACTATAAACCCACAAAAGACCAACAGTTCAGTTTGTCAGCTGTTAAAATGAACACAGTGTTACCAGATTCATTGATGATAAGAAGCATGCAGCCCAGCTTTGGCGGGGGGTCTAGTCTGAATGACATGGAATAGCAACTTGTACAGTAACACAAGCCAAGGTGAACCGTAAAAAAGAAAGCACAAGGGCATGTGCCTCCAGTGTTCTTGAGACAAATTACAGCTCCTGCAGGCTAAGGAGAGGGGCTCTGGGCTGCACTATGTGCTTTTTATGGAGGTGGGTGAAGGTGTTGGATGCTCTGTTACTGTACTTTGTCATAATTCATATTCACAGCTGAGTGTTGAAACAAGACTCAGGGGTTGGTGCTTGTCCACGTTCTAGCTACTTCTGCTGCTGCCTTCAAGTGGCTCTGTTTTGTTTGCTGTGGTTAGACACGTATATTGATGACTGATCGATCACGTCAAATGACCTGTTACTGCATTAACCAGTCAGTGACATTCTCCACTGATGAACCTCCACTAAAAGAGGATGATCCCTATTCTGTGAAACATGCAGTAAAACTGTATTTTCTTTTAATTAACGGACATCATGCAGAATATGCTGTTCCATATATTATAGTGTATATTGTCTGATAGTGATAGTTGAAGTACACAGTGACAGTTTGATGCTGTAGGTCATCCTCATCCTTGATATGTTTTCGTTTCCTAAATGAAGCGATCAGACAGCTGCTGAAAATAACTTTTATTTTTAGCTCAGATTAACATCCAGCAGTGCTAACTGTTTCAGATGAGAACTTACTAATTTTGCAAAATAAAAAAATGAAAAAAAAAGCTGTTATTTGTATCAGTGTCAGTGTTTTTTAAAGACATTTTTACCTACTAACAATTTCTCCAGCAGCACCAGTTATCTAATTTGAGTCGATAATCACTTCATCACAGTGTCTCACTGACCGTCCCTTGAGCCCTCTCTGCTTAGCATGTTAGCTTTAGCTTGATCACTATAGATGAGTGCAGCAGTTCTAAATGGATTGAATGTCTTGGGCAGGTTAGAAAATCAATTAGTAGCATTTGTCCCATAGGGAGTTAATTAGAGTTGGCTATAATCGTTGTGCTCTCTTTCCCACTCTGTGACTCAGACTGGCCATGAAGAAGAAAAGCCTCGGGGTGTGGAGCCTTCTATTTTCACTTTTAAACAACAGCAGCTCCAGCACCAAAAGAGAGAGTTGCGCTATCCTTTGTGGTTAAATCATCCTGAGAAGATTTTTTTATTTTTTTTTAATCTGGCTCTTTGATAAATTGCTCAAACAGAGGGGAGCTGAGCCCTCATGTAGAGCAGAGAGGCTGGATGCACTGCTCTGAAGAGAGCTTGTTAGATAAAGCCCCGGCTCATTTGTAGGTGTATCCGGTTTGGCCCCTGCCACTTGAGCTGAAGTGTAAATCGAGTCACCTGCCATGCAAAATTATATGTTGTGGGTGAACACGAACGACCAGGTTACACGGATCAGTACCTTCACCACATTGTGTCAGAGTGTGACTCTCATGCTCCTGGGTCTCAGCGGTGAAGAAGGAGGTGAGACCTAACAGTTGGTGGTGTTTGTGCATGTGTGGTCTTGTGGTGAGTTTCTGTCCTTGTAGACTGCATATAATACAAAGTGATGACGAAGCCACATGTGGTTTCATCATAAATTCCCAACCTTTCATTTCCTTGCAGTGTTAGTGCTCTTTGGCAGCGTTCATCCTGTTATCCATCGTGAGCATACCACTTTCACAGTGTGGGGGCGTGTACCAATTCATTAGGCTTCCAAACTGTCTGGGATCCTCTGCCAGTCCTCTCCTTGGTGTCCTCTTAATGAGGATGGCCAGCCCAGGCAGTTTGCATTGGCTTTCAATTTAATGGAGCTCTGACTGTGCAAGAGGAGAGGGGGAGGGGGGCAACAGATTGTACAGTCATGCTGTCACAGCGGAGGGTGCTGGCAGAGGCTCGGGGGGAGAGAGAGCAGGAGAGTGAGAGGATGGTTGACACAATGCTCACCTCAAGAGGCTGCTGGAGACAGGAGTAGATTCGAACATGTTGCGATTTGAAGGGACAGCTGCTTCCTCTGGTGACGCAGTAATCTCTGGCGTGTTTGTCATGACCCGCTGATGAAAAAATTATTTGTCTGTTCCACCGTTCCACTGATCTTTCTGTGAAAAAATTAATCACATTTTCTAAAGACATGAATTGGAATTTGAACATCTTAATTAAACCCGTTTTTTGGAGTCATTCATTGTTGATTAGCCCTTTCAGTAAACATGAACTTTTGCTTAAGATTTATTTAATTAAAACTACTGACAAAAGAGCCAAACACTTACTCTTGTCTCTAAAAAAAAAAAAAAAAAAAAGGAAAAAAAATGATTGTTAATGAATGTTTTTATTAACAATTAGCTGATTTTTTTTTTTTTTTCAAATTGCTTGTTTTTTTTCTAAATTGTTGTTGATTAATTTTTGTTTTGGCTCTACTAACAGCAGGATCAGATCGTCAAATTTGTTGTGAACCACCAGAGGGAGGAAGATAGCACGCTTGTGTTTTGGCACTGAAGAAAAATCTTAGAAAACTGAAATCACAGGCAGAGATGACACTTTTCCCAAACAGTGAGCCTGAGAAACGTATCTTTGTGTGAACCCTTATCTCTGTGCATATAGCCCACACCATGGACAGAGAGAGCTTCAACATTTAAGGTGCAGAGAAAGTGAATCATTCTGACTCAGATGGTTTATGGATCAGAACGATGGAGGATACACTCTACAGTACATCTGTGATCAAGTCCTGGTTGACTAAGCTCATTTAGACACACTTGAATTGAAATATTTTATCATTAAGCTTCATTAAATTGCAATTCAACTTACAACACTACGAAGGTAAAAACTGCTTCAACGGTCCCATCTCATGAAATCACACGTCACTTAAAGGTTCTCAAGGGCAACACTAGAACAGGACATAATGTTGTCGGCCGTCTCTGGGGAGTCCAGATGGAGTACAGTGGGCATTCTCGAAAATGCCTCCGAGCTCGGGCATGTGTTGTCAACAACACGTGCTACTTTGTGTTGCCGCACACTGGGGGGAGACGCAGAAATAGCCTCTGAGTCTCGTGTCCCAAGGGCTATGAAAAATTCACTCCACAGGCCCAGAGTATCGGCGGCAACAGGCAGACAGCTGCTTGCTTGATTACCGGCTCCGTTCTTATTTCATTATTTTACCTTCCACCTTGAATGGAGGTTGAAGGTCTCTCAGCAAGTGAATATTTCCCAAAGGAGCCTCCTGAGCGTTTGCCTCACCACTGAGTCTGAATCAAATACAGTGTTATTGACTTTCTGGCAAAAACCAAAACAGCTAATTGTTTACCATTGTTGTGTGTGCCCCCCCCCCACCACCACACACACACACACACACACATTTGTGTATAGGCTTTCTCTTGTACAGTAACTGTGCTGTACAGAAATCCCTTGACACAGTAAGTCAGGGCGGTAATAATAGTCACAACTGCAGGCATAACATTTGACTCACCTGTGACTGTAAGAGGTGCTGGAACACTATAAACATCCTGCTATTGAGAATACGATGATTTTATAAAACTGACTTCATCTGGCTGCTAAATAAAATAATATCATCTTTGTATTGGCATGTATTGAAGAAACGTCTTTCCAAACCTCTACAAAGTGCTGAAGGTTTTTCCCATATTGACTAACCAAGTATAACTTCTTCCTCTAGTTGGTTATCCACAT